GCCAGGAAGAGTAAGAGGGAAGAACCCAGGGGAGGGGGCAGGAGGACTTCTCTGAGGGAGTAACACTGAGAACTGGAGATGGAAGGAAGGGAAAGGAAGGGAAGGAGGGAGGAAGGGAAGGAGGGAGGGAGGGAGGAAGGAGTGACTGTAGGTGGAGGGACAGCTGTGCAAAGCCCCTGAGGTCGGAACTGAAAGTCTGGGCGGTGTGATGGGAAGTAGAGGCGAACAGGAGAGTAGAATAGGTAAACTTGCAAATGTGGGGAGGCGGACTTCCCACTAAGGTGCTCAGTCTTTCTGTCCAAGAAAAGCCTTAGAAGAATTTTAATCAGTGCAGGGACAACCTCGGGCCAGCGACCCTTTGAGGTCCAGGCACAGCCCTGCGTGGAAGATATTGTGTGAGTTGAAACTCAGATGAGTTTCCACAGGAAACCGTCCTACAGAGGCAAGATTTGTCACTTTACGCAACCCAAAATAGTAATGCGTCTTCCTCACCCCAACTCCAAGCCAATTCTGACACATGATGACAGAGCAATCTGCATACATTACAAGATCAGCACCAGGGCTCACTCATTGTTAGACACAAAGCCACGTCAGTCAGTCGCTGGAAGCACCTGTTCGGGTCACGCAGCCCCTCCCAGGAGCAGAGACTTCCCAGAGGGCCTCGGCTTCTTTTTGCGGTTTCTGGTTGACTCAGCCTGTGACATTTGCTCCTCCTAGAATCTTCATGTTGCCTTCCTCAGATTCCAAGTTGTCCTGTGCCTGCAGAGCTGCAGTTGCCCCCAGTGTCTGAATTCCCGGCCTCCCTTCGGCCCATTCCTACATCATGCACGGGGCCCCTGGCAGGACAGAGTGTGGGGCTTTGAGGGGGGGACATCGGGTCACCTCTGTGAAATGAGAACATCTTCCCCAAGGTGGATGCTGCTCAAAATAGACAAAGGAATTATTAAGAAAAGGGTTTGATGGAAAATAAATGGACTGGGGACATCTGATTTGCTAATGCGCATGCTAAGTCTCCTGGACCAAGTGATATTTATTCATCCTTTGTTCCAGGAGCATCTTGCAGGCTAGTATGTGGCAGAAGGAAGACTTAGCAGATGATTGGAGAGGGTCAGGCATTAGGCCGCTGGGAGGGACGGTCTTGGGGCTCTAGCTCCCAGCACCAGGACCAGCTGAGGGTACGACGGGGCAACACGTCTGGGTCCTGCTGATCCCCAGGTCCCCTGCACCCTGCACCTTCTCAGAGCTCCTGGGGTAGAGGCTCCCTGACTCATTTCACACAGAGACAGCACACATGTTTGTGTGGTTGGTGTTTTGGCTACTTACAGGAATAAAAGGCTTAGCCCCCCACCCCCATCCTCTTTAGTTACTAAAGAAGTAATTGAATTGTGGGGAAAAAAATCAGTACCAAGAACAAAGGGCCCAAAGTGCATGTTCCCTTCATTGATGTCCCTGCAGCCCCTCTGCTAGCTGCGGGGGCCTGGGAAGTAAGGAGCAGGTCTGGGCAGAGGGACTGGGTTCTGATCCTAGCTCAGCATGGTACTGGCTCTGCCTACTCGGCACAGGCCTAGCAGTAAAGGTCTGCACGAGCATCGAGCAGGATGGGCACAGAAAGCCTTCAACCCAACATGATACCTAATTGGGTTCAGTTAAATTTGACTTGGGGTTTTCTTCTAGGATCCAGGCACTTTTGTTTTAAAGACATGAGCTTGCATTGTAGCCCTGTCTGGTCTCAAACTCACCATCCTCCTTTAGTCTCTCGGAAGGCGGCGTCACAGGCATACACCACCACCCCTAGCCCAGGCACTTAACAAAATAAGTTGAATTTCATGCAATGAATGCACTAAATATAGAGCGGGTCCCATTTGTGTGAATTTTTTTAAGTCCTCCAGTGCAGTTTCTATATGTAGAAACCACTATTTAGTGGTTATGTCTTCAAATTAACATTCAAATTATCAAAGTTAAAATTTAAAATAAAATGATTAGTTGACTCTCTCTACTCTACAGGTTAGCTTGTTTGGTTCTAGGAACTAAATCTTTACCAAGACTCAGAAATTGCCACCTTTTTAAAGTTCAGCTTACAAAAGTTCTTAGCTCAGTTATCCAGATAAAATACCAGTTCAATTTAAATTATCTAAAGTTCATATCTATCAACCGTTCTGTATTTTCATTTGGTGAATATGGCAAGCCTGAATCCAGCATAATTTAAATAATTAATTTTAAGGAGTTTTGAACCTATTTAAAAACATTTCAAACTTTCTTTTTTACAAATTTAATATCCTGCTTCCTTTTTAAAGTTCTTCAATTGTCTTAATAACAAAAGAGCCACCTTTTTGTTTTACTGAATACTTCTAAGGTTAATAAATTAATCTCACAGAACACTGCTAACCCAAAGTCCTTAGAAATGTTTCAGAACTATATGTTTACTCTGTAAGGTTGAATTTTTTTTTTTTTTTGGTACTGGGATTGAACTCGAGTCCTTGCACTTATGAGGCAGACGGCAGCACCACTGAGCTAAATCCCCAGCCCGGTAAGGTTGAACTTTAAATTATGACTCCAAGCCTATTGATCCACGTATTTGTACATTTTATGGTGCTGTTATGGTGTCAGTCCAACCTGCCAAAAATCTCTCAGGTGGTACAAGTGCCTAAAATACCAAACGTGTGTAGATTCCTTTTTTAAATACAAAAAAAATTTTTTTTTTTTACTGTGGATGAGTCTCCTAAGCATTTCTACACTTAGTTCTAAGTCCTCCTCTGCTCAGAAGCTGCCCATTCGAAAAAGGAGACTGAAGCACCATTAGCACGAGGTACTTTTCACTGGAGACTCGACCAGGCCTAAGTTTGAGGTTGCAGATGACAGGGAGATTCATTTTTCCTTCCATGAGCTCAGGAAACCTTTATTTTCCCGCATGCACTATTTGGGGTTATCTCTTGGAATTCCTGGGCATGAGTGGCCAGGATGCTGACTAATGTATGTTGGCGGTACAGGTGCATTTTGTCCTGGGGCTGCAGACACGGGTCTATCTCTACGGAGGGCGTAGTCCTGAGACCTCAAGGCTCCCTGTAAGCGCCTCCTGTTCCCAACCTGCTTCCCACAGAAGAGTTGACCTTTCTGATATATTATTAGCTTCCTACTAGCTTTGCTGTAGATAATACCTCTGACCTGTGGGTTATTATATGAGTTACCTGAGTTATTTCCCCAAGGACGTGAAGACCACCTTTGCTACAAACACAGACCTTTCGCCTACTTCATGTGAGCTGACAGAGGTCTGATCCGTGGCTAAAATGGGATAAAAGGCTTAATGTCACTGTCTTCAAATTGTGTCTGTTCCCTTTCATTTCTTAACTCCTGGGTCAGATTAGGCTCAGCTCTGTAGGAGACGTGTTGATCATTTAAAAATGATAGTCCAAGACTATATAATATGGGGTTAACTTAGCCTGTTATCCTTTGGAGCTGGTGTTTCCTTCTTCCTTCTCTCTTCCTTCTTTTCTGCCCCTACCCTGTGCTTCTTCTAAAGCCCAGGTGAAATCCTTTGGTTCTATGGTAGCAATTCAGTGCAAACCAAGACTAGCGATCTCACGACACCAAAGAATGAAATTGTAGCAAAAAGAAGATAATGACGGAGGGGCGTTGTTGGAAATACAAGAAAGAAAGCCCCCAGTAATCAGGAGGGGCCCTGAAAGTCAGGTGTCACATGGGCCCCTTGTCCAGAATATTTCATGGATCAGCAGAGCGTGGCAATCTGCCCAGCACCCGATGGTCACTCATTATAGGTGACCTCGTGGGCCCAAAAACACCAATTGTGACTCAGTTTTTTTTCAATGGAGAGTTCAAAAGAAAAACCGTTTACTCCATGTTCCCAATTTCCTGGAAACCAGCACACAGCCTGATGTAGAGAGGGGCTGCTACCTGGTGCAATCAGCCAAAGAAGTTTCTTTTCTGAGAGTTAGTCCTTAACCACCTGCCCTTATTGTAACCCTATCATATTTTCTGTTTACTTTTACATTTCTATACTATCTTTATGGCTTGAATTAGCTCTTAACACACTGTTTTCTTTATTATACTGACTACCAGCTGGACTCTGTCTTGGGCCCTGTCCCTTGCTAGTTGCCTATTCATAAGCTAAACAGCTAAACTTCCTCTTATAATAGGACTCAGACCCCCAAGGTCAGGATGTTTTGCAGAGGACCATGGTGCCTGACACACAAAAATTCAACAGCCTCTAGGACAAGTTGATTGTAACCACCTAGTTGTCCAAGCCCATCTCAGGAGGAAACATCTGGAAGTAAGCCCTTGGCCAGTGGGAATTACCAGACTTTAGCCACCCTAGGAAATCAATAATCAATTTCTTATGAGAGTAGCAGCTCGGTCACTTTTTTGAACAATCCCTGATTCCCTCAGCCAGTGCCCGGTGTAGGGAGTCCCGCACCCCAATAAATGCCCACCTATGCAGGGATGCCTTCCTGTAGGCAAGGACACTTTACTCATTCTAGCAGATCAGCAATCGTTGCTTCCCCTCCCCCTCCAACACACACACACACACACACACACACACACACACACACACACACTGCTGGTGTTCGGCGTGTTAAATTATGTACAGCAAAACTGCCTAGGAAATTATGTAACTCAAACTAAACTTGAACCTAATTTGCACACATTAGGGTGGTTAGAGAATTACTGCCTGGGTGTGTCCAGGGACAGCTGGCCACCAAATCCCAGAGATTTATGGGCCGGGGATTTAGCTCAGTGGTGCTGCTGCCTGAGTTGCATAAGAGTCTGAGTTTGATCCCCAGCACCAAAAAAAAAAAAAAAAAAAGGAAATCCCACAGATTTAGAAAAAACCTAGCAGGATTTTCCACTGACCCCCAAGCCTCATGGTCCCCCCACAGAAGGCTCCACCACCCCTGATGTCTTCTGGGTAGACACATTCTCCATCAACGGAAGAGACAGCCAGAGGTCAGAGCTGGGGACATGAGCCACCTTGTGAGGATGGTGTCCAAATTAAGTATGCTAGCTGCCCCTCCTGGTGACAAAAACAGGGCTCTTGAAAGGCAAGCCCAGTATCTTCGTTTCCTTAAGGATTGAAACCCATGATCTGCAGTTCCTCAGAGAAGTGAAAGTAGCAAGAGGAATCCAGTAATTCCTGTTATCTGCAGGCTTTATAAATCAGCAGCAGCCAGCCGGAGGTGGCAGGAGCCTGCACTTCAGTGCCACCACCTCTCACCTAGCCCAGCACCTCAGGAGCACCAGGATGCCCCCGAGGCCGTCCTCCCTGCTGCTTCTCCTCCTGGCCCTCCACAGTGCCCTGGCCCTGAAGCTCTGCTCCTTCAACGTGAGGTCCTTTGGGGAAAGCAAGAAGGAAAACCAAAACGCCATGGATGTCGTTGTGAAGGTGAGCCCGTTCCTGTTCCCCCAGGAGGGATGCTGGACCCCTCCCCTGCCCTCTCCCCTGACTCTACCACACTTTGCAAGACTCGGGAGGAATTTAACTAGTTTGCCTCCAGGTGAGGACAGAGGCCACAGTGATAAAAACAGCAGTTACAATGCCCACTTCAGCTCCCTGTGCCTGGCACCTCTGTCTTGATGACAATGCCTCCTACAAGTGTGCCGTGAAGGCCACCTACACACAGATGGAAGGCGAGGTCTTCACGTGGTACCTGGCTCAGGAGATTCCTGATAACAACCGGCTGGCTGCTTTTGATGCCTGTGCCAGGCACTATATATACGTGGTTTTATTTCATTCTCGTCCTGAGCACAGGCTGTTACTCCCTACACAGAGACGATGAGCAGAGAAGTGCAGTCCCACTGCAAAGATGGTGGGCGGTTGGGAGTTGGGATGCAGCCCAGCAGGGTCTCCCTGCCCATTCTTTTCTCCTCTCTCCCCTCCCTTCCTCTCCCTCACTCATACCCACTCCTATTCTCCATCACCGACCTCCTCCTAACTCTCAGTACAGACAGGACCGTCCTGGGATAAGCTGACCCATGTCTGGGGAAGCTACACACATTTCTCTGGAGTCCGCTCACTCCGTCCTATAGGTTGATTTATCTTTGATGCTGGGAAATAAGACCTCTCCCAGGGCTCTAGTGGGTGGTTACTGCCTTACTTCTAAGTAAGTAGTGTGTGGTAGGAAAGCCTAGAGCTCTGGGTTCAGACCCCACCTATGGGCTGTGAGAGCTCAAGGGTCCGGTCACCTCCCTGAAGACCCAGGTGCTCCCTGTGGGATGTGGCTGCACCACCCACAGGTAAGCAAGGCCCGGCAGAGCCCATCCCAGGGCAGGTGCGGTGCCTGTGTTATCAGCAGGTAGAGGACTCCAGGAGGACTGGCTGCTGTCTTCTGCCTGAGCTGCTCTTCTGCTCTGTTTGGCCTCCCATGTGGATGGGACCCAAGGGCATCTAGCTATTGTTTAACCAGGGCAGCTGTGCCAAGCCTGTGGGCAGTCACGCTGTGGCTCAGCGCGTAATACTGAGGTGCAAGGACACTGTTTCCCTGATTCCCTGCATGGGTGGCACGGGAAGCCGGAACCCACCGAGTTCCCAGTGCTTTCTCACGCACTCACCCTGGAAGCACCACCAGTCTTGGAGGCTGTCTTTGGGTCTCCGCTGGCTTTCTTCCTACTCACAGCATCTCCCCGAGCTCCTGGCCCTACGGAGTGTGTCCAAAGTCTTGGCCAAGGCCACCTCCCCTCCCCATGGCCACGAAACATCCTGCCAACAGAGTGCTGCCAGAGTCACTTACTACCCAGTGACAGTTAACTCCGAGTGCCAGGCATTCAAAATAGTGTTTTTAGGACCCACTGACTGAGTAGCAACTCGGTGCTCAGGTCTGGGCTCTTACATTCTCACTTACTATTATGATATGGGTAGAATTTCCCCTACTTTATAACTGAGAAAACTGAGGCTCACCGGGCACAGAGGCTTCTCCAGGTTTCCATGGTTAGTAAGAGAAAGAGCCAGGGTTAAACCCAACCATACAACTGCCTGTGTGAGCTGAGACACCCTTCCACTCTCCCACACTGGATTTATCACTTTGAGATCAACCCAACAGAACACATGCCATTCCGGCCCTCACTGGGGAGGCTGCCTTCTCTCTCTGAGCTGCCCTCCCCTGCCCTAGACAGTGGTCCCAATGTCAAGCCCTGCCTGGGAAGGCCTCATTCTGTCTGTGTTCTTCAGTTTGTGTCCTTACAGGCAGAGCTTATTCAACCAACAGCTACTTGCTAAGGGACCCCAGGGGACAGGGATGTGACGGTGGCTGTGGGAGACCCCGTCTCCCACTCCCAGGGCCTACAGCCCAGCATTTCTGGAGCACTTACTCTGGACCGGGCCTGTAACAGAGTTTAGCTTCACGAGTGCTCTCGCAGTGAGGCAGTGGGCACCCAGAGAGGTGAGACAAGTCCCCAAGGTAGTGATGCCCATCTTCCCTAGCGTTCGGGGCTGCTCCCTCACTGGGGGCATGGAATAGGCTTCGTGAACCACCCACTGCCCAAGATTTTTCTAAGCTCTTCCAGACGGTCCCTTCCCCTCTCCCAGCCCACCTCGTGACACCCCTGCCAAGAGTCCTTTACACTGGCCACGCGCAGCTCCTTAAACTCTCCCATTACCCTGTGAACGGTCAGAAGTTCAGCTTTCACAGGGAGTCTCAGGCCAGAAGATGGAAAAAACATATTTCTCCTGGCTCAGTCTCCTCAGGAAAAAACTCCGAGGATGAGGCCCCTGGGTGGCTGTCCCAGAGCCCAGCCCATGTTATAATTTTCCAATTGCAAAAATAATGTTGCTTATTGGTCTGGGGAGTTAGCTCACTGGCACTGCACCTGGCTAGCAAGCACAAGGTCCTGAGTTTGATCCCCGGTACCGGAAAAGAAAAGAAAATTACAACAAAAATATTTTTTAAAAAAAATGAATAGGAGCACTAGTCCCTTTTTTCTTTCAATGTCATAGGAAGAGTTTTAAAAAAAACCAAGAAGACACTGTGCTTTGTGAACTTTGGCTCTGCTGGTTCTCTTCTCCTGGTCCCCTTTCTTTTACTCCTCCCAGGGGCTCTGGCAGAAGCTGGGGTTAAAGCTGTGACCAAAGCAAGGCCTAGCGTGCGACCTGGCTCACAGGAGGCCCAGGACGAAATGTTGGTGGATGGGAGAGCCAAGGGCCGGGCAGATGGGTGGAGGCATAGTTAGAAGGGCGGGTGTGGCCAACGGGGGCGCCCCCAGAAGAACTCCAGCCAGCACTCCCTGCAGGGCAGATGCTGGTCAACAGGAAATATTCCCAAAGTATCAAGGAAGTGGAAGTAGGAGACGGGACTTCAGAAGTGCTTGCTAAGTAAGGATCGGGCTCCTAAACAGGAAATCTGAAGCCCAAGCCCTCTCAGGAATGGAGTCTGAACCCGTGCTCTCCATTTGCTCTCTAACAATGGGTCACGCCAAGAAAGGGGCCGTGACCGTTGAGGAAGAGCGACGCCAAGGACGTGCTGACCTCCTTGGGCACTGAGGGCAGAAAGGGTCCCATAGCCCTGCGTCTTCTTGGTGTTCAGATTTCTAAAGCCAGTGAGATGCAGAGTAACCAGAGGCGACAGCGGGGACACTGAGGGGACCACACCCCAGGGCGCTGATGACAATCAGTGGGCCAGGGTAAGCTGACTTTCGCCATGTCCTCACGGGTACGAGGCCCTTAGTCAGCACATTACACAGGACCACTCACTTAACTTGTGCTAAGCAAGTTAGAAGCCTGCCTGTCATTTCCTAATAAATTCTGGCATCATCTCCATAATTCCTTCCAAGCAATGTTTTTGGGGGTACTGGGGATTGAACTCAGGCCAGGGATTTAGTTCAGTGACACCACGCCTGCCTTGCAAGCACAAGTTCCCAAGTTCGATCCTGGCAGGGGTGGGATTATAGGTCAATTTTTTAATTATAAAGATATAAATTTAATGTATAAATTTCTTTATAATTATAAAATAATATTATGAGATAAAAAAATCACTGTGGACTATTTTGAAAATGTGCAGGACCAGGGATTTAGCTCAGTGCTTCCACCGCCTGCTTCACAAGCGTAAGGTCCCAAGTTCAATCCCTGGTACCACAAAAAAAAACAGAAAATGTGCAAACACATAAGGAAGGAAAATAAAAACACTTCCCTCACTTAGAGATAATACCTGTTGGAGTTGGGTAATTTTCTTAGGGAAATTTTTCTACACCAAAATAAATACATAAGGCTGTATCTGTACAGCATGGTTCCCACCCTATACCTCAGTTCTGTGTTCTGCTTTTACACTAAAAATGTTTCCCATGGTGGAATTATTCTTCTAAAATGTGACTTTTTTTTCCTTTTGGTGCCGGGGATCAAACTCAGGACCTTGCATTTGCGAGACAGGTGTGGTGCTACTGAGCTACATCCCCAGCCTAAAACATGACTTTTAATGCTACCACATGCCTTGTTCTTGGTTTGCAGCCCAGACTTGAGTGCTTCCGTACGTAGGATACCCAGATTGTTTCCATTATTTTTGTTGCATTGCACCTTCCTCTCTGACCTGCACGAGTAATAACCAAAATCTTCCCCGTGCCCACTGCATGGCTGGCACTGTACAGGGAACCCACTCAACCTCCCGGCCACCTGGGAGGGATGGGTCACTACATCCCAACTTAAAGGTGAGGACACTAAGGCGCAGAGGAAATGTCCACTAAGGTGGACATTTCCTTACATGGAAGGCGTTCTGCAAAGTGGGAAAACTGAAGAAGATTATGTACATGTTAAACTCCATTCCACAGAGGTCCGCTAGTCAACAGTGGCTATGTCAGCAGGCTGCTTGCCCAGGCAGCTGCTTGGTGAGGCCAGCCTGGCTGATGCGTGGATTTCATTGGGCCTGGTACTCGGTCGGTTACAGGCGGACCTCCAGCCGGGCCAGTTGCTTACAGCGGAGCCCCTGTGACAGGGGCACCTGGACAAGTGGGTGCTGGGGTCTCTCCCCATGCCACCCTCTGGAAGTGGAGCTGGAGCACAAGCTCTGGAAATAGAGGGCAGTGGCATAGTCTCCTGCTGTGTCCTTGACAGCCATGCGAGAAGACAAATTAACCCCAGGGAACAGATCCCACGGCTCAGGGTCACCAGGATCTCATACCTAGAAGGGCCTGACTGTCACTCAGACATGAGCTTGGTCTATACCCTGGCCACCCTGAAGGAGTCTCTCTTGTGTTCCTGTCTCACTGAACTTCTAATCTCTCAGTACAAATGCTGCCTCTTCTTGGGAGCCTTCCCTGATCCTCTGGGAAGAAGCAATTAATTCCTCCCAACTCTTCCATGGCTTGTGACTTTTATTTAGAATGAGTTTAATTTGCCTCCTGTCGTAGCTAGTGATTCTTCTTTGCCTCGCTTGCTGGGGTCTGAGTTTTTGAGAGCAGGGACTGCATTTTAACAGTTTACTATGGTATCCTTTGTAGTCATAGACCTGAGTTCAAGCCCTGGCTCTCTGTTTTATCTTTTCTGTGTGATTTTAGGGCAGTCACTCAACCACTCTGAGCTTGGTTTCCACCTAGGTTTAACAGACTAATAATTATAGTCATGGGGTAGGACTGCTGTGAAGCTCCGACTAGATTGGCAGTAAATGTTAGCTCTTATAATTATTATCATTATAATTATACCTTTTCATTTCTGCAGTGTCCAGCTTGGGACTTTTACTTATTAATGACTTAATGAATATTCATGGCCATGATTATAATTACCCAAGCAAAACCAAGACATAGGATGTGGGGAGGATCGTGATCACGGACTCTGGACTTGGATCACTTCAGTTCAAAAATCTGCTACCACTATTTTCTAGCTGGCTGATAGTGTCATTTTCTTGACTCTCTCTGAGCCTCTGTCTCCTCATCTTTAAAATGGAAATAAAAATTAATTAACTCCTTAATCAACTTTTGGGCACGGTGGCATATGCCTGTAGTCCAAGCTACTCTGGAGGCTGAGGCAGGAGAATTGTTTGAATCCAAGAGTTCACCACCAGCCTGGGCACCATAGCGAGACCCCAGCTCAAACAACAATAAAAGCAGTTACCTTTGGAGGCCTTCGTTTAGGTCAGGGAAGGAAGGATTTCAGCAAGCACCAATCCAACTCGAAACTCAGTAAGCGCCAGTGAAAGGTTGTCTGATTTCTAGTAAACGGTCTCAGACTCCTGGGAATTCTCTCCACAGATCATCAAGCGCTGCGACCTCATCCTGCTGATGGAAATCAAGGACAGCTACAACAAGATCTGCCCCATGCTGATGGAGAAGCTGAACGGGTAAGGGGGGACTCCAAAAGCTCAGGGTCAAGCAAGGAGACGGAAATTGGCGGGACAGCCAGAGAAGTATGCTGACCACCATGTCCCGGGGCCAGCGCTGACCAGGCCCTGCCCTCGCTCAGCCATGGTCCTGGAAACTTTGAGCTGGCTGGTTTTAATGTGATAAAGTAAAAATAGGGGAAAGAAGTGAAAAGTTGGCATTGAGAGAGAAATGAAAGCAACAGACAAGAGGCTGAGCTAAGAAGTCCTGTGACGAGGAAAAGAACGAAGGTCAAAATGATGACAAGCTCACAAGATGGAGCATTATTCAGCTGTTAAAAATCATGTCTGCTACAGAATGAGTTATGCCCAGTGCTGTGGCCCTCTCCCGGCCACAGCACCCCAACTCAGAGTCACCCTAAAGTGAGCTATAACCACATGCGATGTGCCCCACCCCCCAGTAAGACTTTCTGTGAGGGGAAACCTGGTGTTTCGTTTTTTTGTCTTGCTTTGTTTTTTGTGGCACTGGGGATTGAACCCAAGCCTTCTTACCCAGCTCTTTTTTATTTTAAGACAAGGTCTTGCTAAATTGCCTAGGTGGGGCTAGAACTTGCAGTCCTCCTGCCTCAGCCTCCCAGAGCGTTGGATGTGAATTAGAATTTTGAACAAGCTTCCCTAGTGATTCTGATGCACCTCTCTCTCTCCCTCTCTTTATGTGGTGCTGGTGATTAAGGAAGTGCTTTACCACTAAGCTACACCTCCAACCTGAGCTCTCTTACTTTTTTTTTCGTACTGAGGATCAAATTTAGGAGTTTGTGTTTGTGAGACAAGTGGTGGCATCACTGAGCTAAATCCCCAGCAATAAACCAGCGAACACCAAGCCAGCCAGGAGTCCAACCTGAATCTCCTGATCCGTAGTCAGATGTTGTTATCCATCGCACCACTGGCCCTCTGCACTTATATTTTTAAAACCTTTAAAATAAGGGTTTTGGGGGTTGATAATTCTTATAAGATTAAACAACAGCCAGAATATACAATATGAACTGTGTTTGCTTAATTATGTTTTAAAAAATGTGAGAGTCAAAGAAAATAGTGCCCTAATGTTGGCAGTGGCTGCCTTAGAGTGCTAATTTAAAAGGAATGTAAGAGTAATTTTTTTCTGTGCTTTGCAATGAGAATGTTATAGTCTCTATTTTTCTTATGAAATATCTCAAGCACACTTAAAAGGGCAGAGATATTCTAACCAACAGTTGTGTCTCCACCAGCTGGGTTGAAAGAGCAGTGACATCTGGCTGTCACGAGGTTCTGACAGTCAGGAAAACGCTTGTTGTTTCTTAGCGCTTGTTGTTTCTTAGCGGGGAAAGGTGCACTGGGACACATGCACCAGGGAGGGAGCTGGGAGTTCTCCCCTACACACAGGGCCTCTTGGGCCTGACCTGCCCTCCCCTGGGCTCCCAGCCCGGCTTATGGCTGTCAGCCTCAGCCGGTCTTGTTCCCTGATCGTACCTTTGGAAGAGATGCAGGGAGTGTAGCCTAGGCTTAGGAGCCCATGCTCAGCTCGGATCACCTGACCATGGACAACTCACTGGACTTCTGTGCTTTTTTTCCCCATGTGTGCCTGGGACTGATGTGACGCCATCTTCCTGGGATGCAGTGATGACTAAATTAACTCCTGCGCTTAAGCAGCTAGACAGTGCCGGCTGCGTAGCTGCGATCAGTAAGCGCTGCTGACCTCTATGACTACTACAACAAAGGAATCTCAGGGGCAGGTGTTGGCCCAGGGGCCATATGCCACAGCTACCACTGGCTTGGGCATCCCTGGCCTGGCATCCTGCTGATCAGGTTCTATGGGCGGTGTCATCCCCACAAAGCCTGGAGGGGTGGGTACTGTCCTGCTTCCCTTACAAGCACACGAGGTTAGATGCTGAAGAGCCCAGCCCCCTGCAGTGAAAGCCAGTAGATGCTACTGGCCTCTCCTGGGCTCCCCAGGGCTGGGTTTGGCTTCAGGCATGTATTTGAAGTCCCAAGAACTTCTATAGTCTAAGTTGCCCCCTAAATACCCGCTCAGCTCTTATCTAATCCCAAAACTCTGCCACATATTTGGCCATGGCCAAGATCTTTCTGTGGGCAGGTGGAGTGAAACTGTGTCAGGATGTGCCTGGAGCGGAGTGGTCAGCAGACGTGGTAAATGCAGTCAGGATAGCCTGGGTAGGCGAGGGGTCAGGTGGGGATTCGCCGTCATAGTCCCAGGATTTGGGAGAAAGCGCCCGGGAGTTTCAGAAGCAAACGTTCCTGCCTTTGATAAATCCTTGGGAACGTGCATGGACGGGGGCCTGATGAGGTCAGCCCTACGGGAAAGGAGGATCCCCAGCTCAATGGGCCCAAGGCAGGGTTTCTGATTCTACCTAAACAGTCCATGGGCTCAGTGGTTCCCAATAAGTGCAGGCCAAAGCTTGGGGGTTTGGGATGACTCAGACCTCGGTTCGATCCCAGCTTTGTCCTCTTAAACTATGAAAGGAGGTAGCAATAGTATCTTCCTTTTTAGGACAAGAAATAAGGGCTAGAGATGTAGCTTAGTGGTAGAATGCTTGCCTAGCAAATGTGAGGCCCTGGGTTCAATCCCCAACAATGAAAAAATAAAAGCCAGGTATGGTGTGACACACCTGTAATCCCAGCACTCTGAGAGCTTGAGACAGGAGGATCACAAATTCATGCTTAGCCGAAGCAGGTTAGTGACTCCCTGCCTCAAAACGAAAAAGATCAGGGGTACATCTCAGTGTGAAGGGCCTAAATTCAATACTCAGGACTGAAAGAAGGAGGAGGGAAGAAGAAAAAGGAGGAGGAAGAGAACAGGGGGAGGAAGAGAGGGAAAGAAGGCGGAAGGAAGGAAGACAGGCTGTAAGGATCTAGGAGATGTGTCTTATCAAACTCAAAAGTTGTGTGGTACCTTCTCCTTGTTGGAGCTATCTACAAAGTGAGGACTACGTAGTAAGGCTCTCTCAGAAAAAAAATAGGAACAGTAAACAGTAGCCCTGCCATTGGAAATATGGAGGCAGATTAGAGTGGGGGACATGTGCAACAGGGAGATGATGTTCATTCTTTAAGATGCAAAGTGAAATCTTCGTGTTTTCTAGAAATTCAAGGAGAGGAACAACATACAACTATGTGATTAGCTCTCGGCTTGGACGAAACACATATAAAGAACAGTATGCCTTTCTCTACAAGTAAGTATGATCTCTGCATTTAAAAATTTTTTTTATTTTTGGTACTGGGGATCAAACTTGGATCCTTGTGCTTGTGAGGCAGGAGCCAGAGCCAATGAGCTAAATCCCCGGCCCTGATCTCTGCTTTTTGAAACATGGACCACTTAAAGATGTGACTATGAATCGAATCAAAGTGTACATGTTCTTCAAAACCAGAGTTTGCTCTCTAACCAGTTCTCAGGATCAAGCAAGATAATTGCTGTTGAAACTGGGGCTGATGCAAAGTACCAAATCTTGAGACTCAGAAGCATGAAGAGCTTCCTAACCCCTGGCTGGTTGGTGGGTTGGAGGGGTGCCAAGGCCAAGGGTTCACTTTCGAGCATGGCCTTGACTTGTCCCACACAACCCATTCCTGAAAGCCGTAATCTCATTGCCTTGCTACTAGTGACTTACGAGTAAGTCTGAACAGTCCTTGCGGGTGCCCCAAAGAAGGATCCAGAGGACCTGAGAGCAGACTCGGTCTTCTCCTCGAGGAAAAGATCTTCCCATTTGCTGCAGAAGCTAACAAAGCCTGGGAACCTACTCTCTATTTCTTCAAAGAAGTAAGAAGAGCCTCCCCTTTTTTCTCTTCTAGGGAAAAGCTGGTGACGGTGAAGGAAAACTACCTCTACCATGACTTCCAGGACGGAGATGCAGATGTGTTTTCCAGGGAGCCCTATGTGGTCTGGTTCCAGTCACCCCACACTGGTGAGACCCACCAGCTCCTCTTGTCCATGACCCCCCTAGGGGCCCATGAATAGGCAGCCGCTGTGAGCGCTTGTGAGCAGCACCCCAGGGCTCAGTGAGGCGCTGGGCTCCAATGAGCACCAGTCAGGCAACCACCCACCAGGATCCACCTCTGGGATCAGGGCTAACTACATTCTCTTTGGATCATTTAGGCTCACAGAAAAGATTTACTGCAAGTCCTTGATCCCTGTCCAGTTCCTTAACTTTTTAAAGATTTAAATTATGTCCCCCAGTAGTGGTGGACAGCAAAGGTCTCGCTGTCCCTGCAGCAGATACCAGCAGACTCCTCTACAGACCTGAGGAGCAGGAGGAGGAAACCCAAGGCATTTGCGCCCTGAGCTCCCACGCTACATTAATTCCTCACCAAGCCCTTTATAATCCTTGCAACACACAGCGAGGGAGAGACCAGGATTGGCTTCTCTTCACATTTGAGGAAGCCAAGCTTCAAAAAGGTGCAGTTCCTTGTCCAAGTCAGCCAGATAATGAAATGGCTAAGCCAGGATCATAACCTAAGGCACCATCTCAGCCACCGCCCAACACACGAAGGAAAGTCAAGAAGGAAATGCGGTTTGAAGATGGCAGCCACATGGAGTCCAAAACAACTTTCCACAGTGCCTGCTGTTGGCCAGGCTCTGTTGCGGGCACAAGAAGACAGAAGAGGCTCCTAGCCTTGTGAAGTTATACTGGAGTGGGGCAGACAGACAACAGCCAGATAAAACCATGCTGGGCTGGGGAGGAGCTCAGCGGTAGAGCACATAGGGAGCAGGCACAAGGGCCTCTGTTCAAGTCCCGGCACCAAACAAATGAGTACACACACTTACACAGGTGTAAGTGTGTGCACCTGTCTCTGTTGTATCTGGTGGTGCCTTGGGTCATGAACTTGATTCTTTCCACGATTCTGGTCACAAACCAACATGGACAAAATCCGAATCAAATTCAGTGGTTAGGTTCAGTGTTGACCTTAAAGGGGGAATTTGATTTGGTTCTCATCGAGTTCAGTTTGCCACCAGAACTGTGGAGAGAACTGAGTTCGTGAGTCAAGGTAGCATTGTACCAGCCTAAGCTTCCGGAATTATACATTTCTGCCCACAGTTAGCTCAGGGGGAAGAGCACTGGAAGAGAAGTTGAGCACGGCAATAATCCTCTCTGTCATGCACTCACTTCACGTTATTCTGGCCAAGAAAAGTCCTCCCACCCCCAAATAACTATTTCTCTCAAAGAGAGTCCAAGCCTTTGTGACTTTCTAAACGAACCTGTTTTTCCTGAGCTGCTACCCTCCCCTCTACCCTGGGATAGCACTGCCCATCTGGAGCTTTCCCTCCCATGTCCCTTGGCCTGGGATTAAGTTAGCGGTTTTACTCATCCCTTCATCCACGTGTTCAGTCACCGAACCCTTTTGAGCACCTGCAGTGTGCACTGACCCAGGTGCACTGTTTCATTAAAAGATACTAATAAGAGTGAAAACACAAGTGGGAAGGGATATTTGCAACTTATACTAAAGAAAGGCTCGTGTCAAGAATCTATAAAGAATCCCAGCACTCTGGGAGGCTGACAGGAGGAGCGCCATGTGCAGGGAGCTATGCTAGGTTCTGGAGCCAGGACGGTGAGGGTTCCAGTGGACCACGTGCAGAAGCAAAGGAAGTCACTTCAGAGCACACAGGAAGCACCAGCAGTGTGCCCTGGACAGCAGGAGGCTCTTCGGATCCGATCACCAGGGGGCCCTACAGCTCAGTCTGGCAGGGGTGGCTTCCAGGCTACCCGCCCAAGGCAAGTTAATCCTTAGTCCCTTAGTCAGTCCTTAAATACCCTGTGGGAGCTTTTTGCTTCACTGCGAAAGGAGCGTGAACTGGCAAGCCCACCCTCACCCTCTTTAGCACCTATACTGAGACTTGAACCCTGAACCCGGGCCCCTCACACGGAGCTACTTCCTTTTTTTTGTTTTGTTTTGGAGACAGAGTATTATTACTAAATTGCCTAGACTTAGCTTGAATTCGCTGTCCTCCTGCCTCAGCCTCCCGAGTGCTGGGATTACAGGCAGGTGCCACCACGCCCAGCTGTGGCATTTTTTAATCAGAAAAAAAGTTTTTCTCATAGTTCAAAAGCTAAAAAGAGTTATTCTTTTTTTAAAAATATACAACCATAGGGCCAGAGTTTATTTAGCTCAGTGGCGCTGTACCTGCCTTGCAAGCGCAAGGTCCTGAGTTCAATCCCCAGTACAAAAAAAGAAAAAATCCATAAATATATATAATCTTGTGAATTAAAAAATGAGAAAAATAAACCGGAAGAAAATGCAACTTTGCAAAAATGAAGAGAAAATAGAACACACCCACAACACCAGCAAGGAGCACTGTCTACCAGCTTTTTCTTGGCTGTGAAGGGCAAGTGGGAGAAAGTCTCTCATATTGAAAATAAGTGGCCCAGCCAGGCATGGTGGTGCATGCCTGTAATCCTACCACTAGGGAGGCTGAGGCAGGAGGATTGCCACAACTTTGAGGTCATCCTGGGCTACACAGTGAGTTCAAGACCAGCCTAAACTACATAGCAAGACCCTATCTCAAAAAACAACAACAACAACAACAAATAATAATAATAATAAATAAATAAAATAAAAATAAACGGCCCGATGATCGATTCTAGCTTCTCTAAAATCTCTTCCGGTTGGACCGGCGGCCCGCCAGTCATGGTCGGTACTTTCCAGAAAGGAGAGCTCACTTCCTCACACAGCACTGGTGGGAGCCTGACAGGAGTGTGTAACCTCTGCCGCTTCCGTGTTCCTCAGCCGTCAAGGACTTCGTGATCGTTCCCCTGCACACCACGCCCGAGACCTCAGTGAAAGAGATCGACGAGCTGGCGGACGTCTACACGGACGTGCGACGCCGGTGGAAGGCCGAGGTGAGTCCTGTTCTCTGAGGACCCCAACTCCGCAGCGTCCATGGCGATGCCAGCATTTCGGAGGGACTGTGCTTCAGCCCTCTAAGAGTCCCACAGGAAACCCACTTTGCAGCTGAGAAGAGCGAAGCATAGAGCGGGGAGGCTGTTTCGGGGCAAGGGACAGGCGCTCCAAGTGGACGACTGATGCCTTGGTCCCGGGCACAGGCGGCAGGGCTCCAGAGGGCGGTTCTTCTCCTTTCGGAATGTGACTCCTGGGATCCCTTCCTCCTCCTCGGCTCCTCTGTCCCACCTACAAAAGGAGTAACGGGTGAACTCTTGTCCCAGAGTGGTTCATTCATTCTAAAAATCATGAAACCATTCCTTCATTCAAAAATGCACTGAGCTTCTGCTGGGCATCAATCAGTCCCTGGGCAGGGACCAGCGACCTAGTGACAAACAGAGGGGAGGTTCTTGCAACGAAGGGCCTCCAGGGGAGGCAGGCTGGGGTGCCATTCTCGACTGCACTGCTGGACCCACAGCGGTGTGGCCTGGGTACGAAGGGCCTCCAGGGGAGGCAGGCTGGGGTGCCATTCTCGACTGCACTGCTGGACCCACAGCCCAGGAGGTGACACGCCGTTCAGGGTGCGTCCTACCTTCTAGTGTTTACTGTTGAGAGATGCAGTTCAAGCTCCGTGGACCCTGTCTTGTGCTGACCTCCGCATACCGCGCCTGTGTTAGTGGAAGCTGGACGGTCACGCAGGGCGGACATCCTGGCTCAGCTGTGCCCATCAGTCCCGGAGGAAGCTGTAATCACTCAGGCCAAGAGGACAGGTTCTGGAAGAACATTCTGAAGCCGGCAACCACCCCAAACAATAGCACAAACAAGGAAACCTGACATTTCCTCTGCTTTGGGAATGTTAAATTCTGTTCCAGGAGCCCTGCAGGGAAAAACACTTCCAAAATAGCAAGTTTCTGTTGGTGGTCTGGGGTGGAGATGGACGTCTTACCCTACCGCTCCCCTCTACCGCTCCTCCCACTGCCCCCAAGGACTCTGTTCTCACAGACAGAAGTTTCCAACCTCACAACAATAGAAGAGAGGGAGACTGGTGTCAGAGCGGTCAGTACCCCACCCTAGGACATTTTTCCTGCTTGGAAACAAAGGTGTTGATTCATCCCTATGTTTTTTTCCCCCAGTAGCTTGAGGCAGAGACAAAAGATGAGAGGGAGTATCTTGGCTGGAGCCCTGCATTCCCACTCCCTTTGGCACGCCGGGTTATAGAGACACGGTGACTGCACCGAGCAGAGCGGTGGGAGCAGACACCTGCTTTCCTGTTGAGAGCACACTTTTCACCCAGGCTGATTAGGAAGAATTCCAGGCCAGGCTGGTGGGGCATGTCTGCCATTCCAGCACTCTGGGAGGCTGAGGCAGGACTGAGAGGCCCAGCCTGGGCAATTTAGCAACTTAGTGGGATCCTGTCTCAAAATAAAACATAAAAAAGGGCTGGGGGTGCAGCTCCGTGTGAAGGCTGGGGGTTCATTCTCTAGCACAAAAACAAACAAACAACAATTTATTTTAATTCATCTGCCAGAGAGTCTTCAAAGCTTGGACTTGGTTGTAAATTGTGGCCTCTTCTTTTAAAATCAAGAATAAAATTAATACAGACCCTCAGGAGTTTGCTGAGGCTGCCATACCAAAGTGCCAAAGACTGGCTGGATTCGATGATACAGAGGTGCTTCTCGGGGTTGTGGGCTAGAAGTCCAAGATCCGTGTGTGAGCAGGTTGGTTCCTCCTGGGTCTGCTCTCTCACTGGCCAGACAGTGCTTTCCTTCCTTCCCCTCCCTCCTCCCTCTCCTTTTCCTCCTCCTCCTCCCTCTCTCTCCCTCCCTCCCTCCCTTCTGTTTTCTTTTCTGAGACAGGGTCTTGGGGTCTTCTGTGTAGCCCAGGCTGGCCTTAACATGTTCCGGGCAGTTTGTACCACCCAATGGGACTGTCCTGTCCCACGCCACCCAAAGCAACAGTCATGCATGTACCACTGGTGGTTCAAGCTGGCAGGAATGTTACACATTCAAATCAGAGTTGCCTGGCAGCAAGACATACAAATTATGGCCCTATCAGACTCACCACCCTCCTGCCTCGGCCTCCTGAGTGTTGTGGCTACCTGAGAATGTCACCACACTCAGCTAGATGGTCATTTTCTTATGGTGCCCTCATGTCGCCTTCTCTTTGTGTCTCTGTGTGTCCTGAGCTCCATTTTTCTTTTTCCTTTTTTCCCTGTGATGCTGGGGATAGAACCCAGGCCTGGCACGGTGTGTGCTTTATCACTGAACCCATCTCTCCCCTCCCATTTTTATAAGGACCCCTGTCCTGTTGGATTAGGGCCCACCCACCTGACGTCACTTTACCTTAATTTCTTCCTTTCAGACCCTATCTTCAAATACAGCTGCACTCTTTGGTACAGGACTGGAGGTCAGGAGCTCAATATAGGAATTTGGGCCCTGTTCGGATAATAAGAGACCCCCTTGTTCCTGGGCGTGGGAGATGGAGACACTGCTGAAGTCCTGACAGGAAGCACTGCACACACCCCTCTCCGTGACCGTCCCAAACATGTCTTCCAGAATTTCATTTTCATGGGTGACTTCAACGCCGGCTGCAGCTACGTCCCCAAGAAGGCCTGGAAGAGCATCCGCCTGAGGAGCGACCCCAAGTTCGTATGGCTGATTGCAGACAGTGAGGACACCACGGTCAAGAAGAGCACCAACTGTGCCTATGACAGGTGGGCGGCCTCTGCAGGGCCCTCGGGTGAAGCACAGGCCTGGGGAGGGCAGAGTCAGCCGCATTTCCAGAGCCCGTGTCCTTGGGGCCCTTGGTGGCGGCCACCCTGGGCACCAGAGCTGAGCAGCGGCCGGCACTGGCTCTGATGCCAGACAGGCCTAGATTAAGTCCTCACTGCCACCTTTCCGTGCCGGTGACCAAGAGACATATGTTCTCCGTGATCTCATTCCCTCCCTCTAACTGGAGACTGCACTACAGCCGCACTCGCAGAGACACAAAGAGAATTCAATGAAGTCTTAGATACGGTACGTGAGGTAACTCACAGAAAGCTGCTAGGACAGCGAGGGTTTGACAAGCGCTCAGTACATTCATGGGCTGTTTCTCTTCTCTCACAAGGATGCACTGTCCCCATCCCAGGGCGTTCGACCACTACTATCGGGGGGTCTGCTGGTATAAACGCTGTTGAAATGACAATCCTATGTGTGTATTCTGGGAAAATATTTATTATTTCCTCAGGATACAACCATAGAAACGAGAGCAGCTAGCGCCATGTTACTTACGCTTTTAAAACCTCTGGTACCCATTCCTGAGTTCAAACCGAACACTTAAATAACAGCATCCCCTTGTACTTTTCAAGTCACACAGAGAGTCTCCAAACACTTCCGCTTCTGCTCCTTCAGTCAAGAAGGAAGAGGCAGAAGTCAGCAGGACAGAGATCACAGGCACAGAAACCCCTGGGAATCCCTGGGAGAACAGCTGGCCTCCGCACTGCTGTGGCTCCCGGGCTGAGGTCCGGCTTTCATTTCCGTCCCCTGGCCTCCCTTGTTCCCCTCGGGACTTTCAGAGCTGGAGCTTCCTCTGCACATGCCCTAGCTGTAGCTCTCGAAAGTGGAAGCCCAGGGTAGGAAGTTCGGAGAGGCCGAGCACCAGGCTCCAGGGGCCTCCGGTCACCACGGTAGAAGACAGCATTTGACCCTGGCACTTTCCCGTTCTGGCCTCTTGGGTAGGTAAAGTCCCTTCTCCAGTCCCCTTGTTCTCTCTGCAAACGAGGTGGGCCTGGTGGAAAAGGAAGGCTGATCATGAGGAAAGGTGCCCATGGCAGAACAGGTTAAGAACACGTTTCCCTGGTTCTGTAGCCTTTATATGCCAAAGGATGGTGGGATTACACGAAAGTTTTAAAAGACTAGTTTCCTATTTTAATGCACTAAATTTTCTGCATTCCACAACGGCATGTACAACTCCTGCAGTTTACAAATGATGCTTTGAAAATGGACCTATACTTTGTCCTGTGATCAAGTATTTGTCGAGCATTTTCATAGGCAGAGCACTGAAGGACACGAAAGACACAGGCTTGTGCCCCGGCCTGGCCTGGACAAAATGTAACCTGAGAGAGACCTGTGCTCATGCTGGAAGAAGTCAGAAACCCAGCACCGTTAAACATTGCTTTTTGATCTCGAGTCTTTAAAAAATGGCTTTCATGAGTCCCCAGCTTTGTGTGAAGAGCTTACACTTGGGCTGAGTGAAAAAGGAGCCACAGGTCTAGGGGTGTGGCTCAGTGGTACAGAGCTTGTTTAGCACTCTTGAGGTCCCAGGTTCAGCCCTCAGCACCAACAAAAAAGCCATGTGGTGGTGGTTTTAACAAACTCAGTCAGAAAAACTCAGGACAGAGGCACAGAAAGGCAGTGTGCCCCCCTTGCATTACTCAGACAGGCGGCCGGCACCACACACACCTCACTTGCTTGTCCCCTGAGGTAAATTAGAGTCCATTTCCAAAACTCAACTGGCTACCCCTTCCCAGATGATATCATTACTGCAAAGCATCTCTCTATTTTTTAAAACCACTGATTTCTCACTGAAGTAAATTAATAGTTAAAGGAGGATACTACAGCATGAAAACAGCATGACAGCCAGGCACGGTGGTGCACACCTGTAATTCCGGCACTCTGGGAGGCCAAGGCAGGAGGAGCACAAGTATCAGGCCAGCCCAGAGAATAGCCAGACCCTGTCTTGAAAAACCAAACCAAACAAATAAACTGTCACTTGCCATAAATGAAAGAAATTAAACAGAAGCCCAGTAAAGACTGCCCAATTTGTCCTTATTTCTCTTGCCTGCAGGATGTGTGAGGGGTGGAAGTTTGCTCTGTCTTTGTCAAAGTGGGGGCTTAGGCAGGTGCTAAAGATAGGCCAGCATCTACCCGAGAATATCCTGTAATCTAATCAGGGAAGGGAGAAGCATCAGGGCAGCAACACTCCAGTATGCACATCCTTTCTGCGTGACATGGGTCTGTGTGTCATCTAACATCTGCTCTGGGGACACCCATGCTGCCTGTGGGGCCATGGCAGGCACTGACTCTTCTTTGCAACTGGAAGGAACTGTCCTCTGGGGTTGCCAGCTAGAACCAGACATGGACTTGGAGCCCATGAGAAGGGCTGGGCTGCTCTGTCACTCCCAGACATCAAACACGGGTCTTGAATTCAGAAATCAAAAACTATCTCTCCTCCCCTTGCTCTAGGATCGTACTTCGAGGACAAGAGATTGTCAACTCTGTGGTTCCCAAGTCAAACGGTGTCTTTGACTTCCAGAAAGCATACCAGTTGTCTGAAGAGGAGGTAAGGTCACCATCTTGTCTTTCTGTGCCACCATCTTGGAAAGGTAAACTGCTGTACCCTTTGACGTCACCATTGAAGACCCCACATTGGACCACTGAGCCTTGAGTCTCAATAACTATTAACTATAATCCTGACAAAAATTTCTTTTCTTTATTTATTTTTTGGTACTGGGGATGGAACTCAGGTCCTGTGCTTGCGAGGCAGGTAACAGAACCACTGAGCTAAATCTCCAGTCCTCTTTTCTTTTCTTTTTAGACAGTGTCTCACTATGTAGTCTAGGTTACCCTCAAACTTGATATATGTAGCGCAGGCTGGCCTCAAACTCTTGATTCTCCTGCCTCAGCCTCCACAGTGCTAGGGTTACAGGCCTATACCATTACACCTAGCACCTGCCTAAACACCTGGCTGAGTGAGCCAAGGACTTTGCCCCCTAGCTCTACTGAGTGAGCTGAGGCATTTCATCTTCCCATCCTGTTCCTGAATTTGCTCATCACTAAGATGATGGCATGTCCCAAACATCTCCTGAACCCAGTCCTACCTGCCCTTCTCCTTACAGGCACTGGAGGTCAGCGACCACTTTCCAGTTGAATTTAAACTACAGTCTGCAAGGGCCTTCAACACCAACAAAAAGTCTGCTCTGAAGAAGAAGAAAAAAGCCAATCGCTCCTAGATACAAGGGCCCATTTTACTAACCATCATAAAATGGCTCTAACAGGCAGGACTCCCTGTACCCTCAGGAGAGAAAACTGGTCCAGCTGCTTTTATTTTCCACTGGAGCTAATTCTGCTTTAGCCACATTGGAAGGAAAATTTCTGTTATCCCTTCCCAGCTCCTACCTCTGAACTGCCCAAAAAGAAACTTTGGCTTTTGCAGTCCAGAAAGAAGGCTTTCTCGCCCGGAGCTGGAATTATCATCCACTGGCCCTCGTCCTCTATCAACCCTGTCACAGGAGAGGCTGCAAGAGGAGGACAAATGTCAGCCTGCAGTCCTCACCAGAAGATCTCACTCCCAGGAAATGAGCAGGAACGCCAGGGCCCCTACTGCCCCCGTGTGGACAATCCACTGCTTTAACTCTGCCCCTCTTCTAAGGCCAGGCCACCATCAGCGCTCACACTGAGGAAGGATGAAGGGAAGGCCACTCCTGCTGGCCTGCCTGCCCCCAGGTTGTCCTCCAGCCAGCCAGCCCAGCAACCTCCAGTGTCGTCCTGTGACACCCCGTTCTGACCACTGCCACCCCAGGACTCATCACCATGCGCGTCTCCATCGTCTGGCAGCTCACACTGTCCTTGCAAGCAGGACCTGCCTTTCGCTGCCCCTCCTGGGTCCTCCCTCCCTTGGGGCCTTGCTTCCACCCCATGCTTTACTCGGTCCCAGAGCCTGGTCTAAGTGCCCCGTGTCCTACTTTCTATGCCTGCATTGCAACACTAACCACATTTAATTTGTCACAGGGCTGGAATTAGAACTCCTTGGGGGTTCTGATGTGACCAAGCCTCCACTGGCTGGCTCAGACCAAAGGGTTTGGTTATTTTTCTGTAATTTCTGTGCATCCGGCAATACAGCACCATTTTGCCTGCATACACGGTGCCCATTTTTAAATGTTTTGCTGTTTTCCCTGATAGCGCTTCTCTGCCCAGGTAATACACGAGCACGGCTTAAATGTACACACTATACTGAAGAAGGAGCAGCAAAAGAGAATGCCACCTCGTGACCCTCGACTTACCTGTCCCAGAAAGAGCCCCTCTGTGAGGGAAAGCCTGTGCACGAAAGAGCACGGGGCCGGGGATTTAGCTCAGCGGTGCCACTGCCTGCCTCGAAAGCGCAAGGACCCGAGTTCAATCCCTGGTATCAAAAGAAATAAATAATAAATAAATGAGCACCATAGGTAGGTAACCTTGAGAAGTACAAAGTGTGGCAACCCATGTGCATGACTCTGCTTCTTGATTCTTTTTTCCCCTTAATACATCAGGGACAGTGTGACTGTGGTGTAAGAAAAAAAGACCGTGGAACATTGGTCAGTTTTCTCTTGCTTTGACAAATAACCTTAAGTAAAGTCAACTTAAAAGGAAGAACGGCTCATTCTGGTTCACAATTTCGGAGGCTGCAGCCCCCTGGCAAACTGACTCTGCTGCTTTGGGCCCCGTGGCCATGATGGCAGAATGGTCATGGTGGAGAGCAAGCCACTCACCTCATTGGCCAAGAAGCAAAGCGAGACCGGAAGGGGCGGGACCCCAGTGACTCTTAGACGGTATGGCCCCTGATGACAGGAACTTCCCCCAATTAGGCTCCACCTCTTAAAGAATAACACTATTGTTAGACCAAGAGCCTTACCTACCGCTCTGAGGAGCTCAACAGCTGCGCGAAACACCCGGGAAGGAGCACACCCGACGCGTTGGAAAATGAAACAGACTTTATTAGTCTGGCCAGACGGCACTCCCGGAGCCGAGTAGCTCAGAGAGGCGCTAGCTCAGGGCCTGAGGTCTTCTTCTAAGGGGATACAGGGGGAGTTAATCTTCAAAGCTTGCACTCAGGTGGCAAAGGTTAATGGTCTGCTGACTCGCACTGGTGGCCAGCTGTCATGTATTCAGCAGCCACACGTTGATGGTTAACAGATGCCTACAAGATATTCTAAGATCTTAAAAGCATTTCGGGTTTAAGCAGTTTTCCCTGTTGAAGATAAAGGGAGGGTGAAATAACAGTCTCTGGACCCTTAGCTGGTCAACATGGAGTCACTTTAGCTCAGTCAGGTCTCACACTATGAGCTGTTGGGGGTCCCTCCGGATCCCAACAAAGCAGCCTGATACCTTACATTATGTAACATCTGACCAAAGGAGTAAAATCCAGAGGGTCCCGCTGGGGGAACATCCCGTTCACTGCCGAGATTTTGTTGAAGTATTTTTGCCCCATTCATCTCCAAGAATTTAGGGGAAGGTGGCAAGAGTGGTAAGGTCTCTGTTACCCCTTTTCTAAGGCAGCATTCACTGTCCCAGACAACCTTCCAGTCTCCAAGGCCCAAAGTGGTTAAGCAAGCAATTCACAAATGAGCTCATTCTGGAGGGGAAAGGTCATTCTTTTGCCCCAAAGCCCTGAAATCTCCACCTGCCAACATGGCAAGAGTCCTGGCCGCCAGGCTTGGGGCTCTGCTGGGTGGGGAGGCGCAGAGGTGAGCTGGCACTTGATGCCCATGGCTATTACCTGAAGTCAGCACGACCTGACGCCCTGTGGCTTCCTCCTCAGCAAGACCACAGGATGCACCTTTGCCCTGCCCTGCCCCAGGTTTCGGAACCACAGGCGCCGGCCACCTGTCCTTCTGGCAAGCTGTGCCCAGCAAGGGCACATAATGGGGTTGTGCTCACTGCTCACGGCCTAATGGAGTTGCAGACCTGGCACGCGTCTGGGTCACCTGGTCTGACCAGAGCGAGGGACTCGGGTCTGGGGAGGGCTGTACCCTGGATGTACTCAGCTTTTCAGCCCTGGCTTTGTCCTGTGGCTCTGAAACTTAGCATAAGTTTCTGGAAACCAGTTATCATGCTTACTCCCAGGCTCTAGATGCCCGGAGCCTGTCTCAGCAGAGCCAGGCCAGCACCCAGAAACTTACATTTTTAATAAGCACCCTCAAATAACTCACATTTGGCTTGTTCAGGAAGGTGATCTGAGGGACAGGCTTTGAACACACATTCCCAGCCCTCCTTAGTGAGAAGATGGGTAGATGATGACTTCTCTCTCTCTCTCTTATTTTTGTTGTTTTGAGACAGGGTCTCACTGTGCTATCCAGGCTGGCCTCAAAATCATGGTGATCCTCCCACCTCAGCCTCCTGAGTTCTGGGATCTATAGGCACGTACCACCACACCTGGCAGTATGGTGACTGTAGACTCATATTCTATATTGTCTAGTAGCTGTCCTGGAGTAGGCTGGTTACTTATCTTCGGTTTCCGTGTGTGTAAAATGAGGATAAGAGAATCTACCTTATTAAAGTTTAGATCAGTGGTGAACATAAAGCCTTGAGTGTGGGCCTGAAACCTAGTAAGACCTCAATAAGTGGAAGTGTATTTTTCCTACAGGACTTGCTGTGTCATGGGTGGGGAGCTTTAAGCCTTTGGGTATAGATTGCTGTCATTGAATTACTTATAATGTGTTGTTGCCACGCCAGAGTCCCACTGGTTTGTCCTTTGCCACAGTAAGTATTTTGGCAAACTGGGTTTGAAAAATGGAGACACCCTGATTCCAGTCCTTGCTACATCCAAGTCTGCTGCACCTCTTCCTGCCACATCCCTTTTTTGGCTCCAACACAGAAACCCTCCCCAGCTGACCTTCACCCTGTTCCTTCGGTCCCTCCCTTCTCTGAGTCAGCAGCCTGGCTCATATCTCTCCTTTGGGTTGGAGAAGCAAAGATAAAGGGCTTTTGCCAAACTAGGAAAGTGCAATAAACTGGAGGTCACATCCCTGTCCCTCCCAGAATGAGAAAGGCACCGGGCCCAGGCGGATGTGTGGGCAGAAAGCAGAGTCACTGAGAGGCTCACACTTGCACCTCTAGGAGTGGCCACACCTCCCAGTGATCCTAAAGGAGCTGCATTCCTGTGTCCCCCAAGGCTCCCTGAACCATCCCAAAGGAGCCAGCATTCCCATGTCACACACCCACAGGTCTTGTTTTCAAAGAGCAGGTTGCCAGAATCCAGTGAAGGGAATGGAAAAAAGCAAGATATATGTGGCTGCCAAAACCGACGCACGCACACACACACACAAACACTCACACCTCTTTCCCCGGGGGTGCCTTTGCCTGGCACACATTCATCAGGCTGGGTGGTGCAAGCTGTGCTCCTGCCTCATGTGGGTTCCCTGATGGCGGGAAGAAGGATGTGTTCGTCACTGGTGAAAACTTCTGCTGCCCTTCTGTTCCCTAAAAACTCTGCTGTCCCCACAAAACACCCTGGGGGCTTCGTCTTATTTTTCTGAGTTATTTGCTTTGAGGTTCCTGCATGTTTTGAGATTTTTTTCATCAATTCATAGAGATTGGAGTGGAAAGAGCCTTTAAGACAAAAATAGCAAACAAAAGCTGCTGTCTGTGAGGCCTTCTGCTCTGCTCCTGTTCTAAGAAGGCAGCCCACACGGTCTCCCTGAATCAGGGCTGCAGCACTGAGAGCTGGGGTCTGAAGCAGTCCAGATTCTGTAGCAAGGACGCAGAGGCCCATAGAAGCTGAATGACTTGCCCGAATTCCCACAGCTAGTGAGCAGTAGGGGCCAAGGTTGATTCACCTGTCAGACACGGTAAATCCATTGCCTAGGGCCTGCAATAATTTTAGATGCTACAGAAATGATAAACTTTTAGTTGAAGAAAAATCTTAATATACAATATGAATATGGTTTCTTTATAACAACCTACTTATAAAATATAATTTTTAATATTTTTTGATGGAGAAAGGGACTTGTGAAGTCTTTAGGGCCCATAAAAATCATAGCAGATGGTGGTAGAGACAGAACTCAAAACCCAGTCTGTCCGCTCCAAAGTTCGCATTCATCTGTTCTAGCCCGATTTTTACGCCACGCAATGAAAAGGTTGCAGAATCACAGTATGATTTCCAGTGAGTTAACCGCCACGGCATGTGGTCTGGTAGCACCACCTGGTGGCCTTTTCTGGAACTTCCCTTTGGTCACGGGAATCATAGAAGTCGCAGGAAATAGCCCGCAGCCCACCTGCCCGTGGGCTCCATATTTAGCAACGGGAACACAGGCCAGGAAGCTCCCTCAGCTGTCGCGTGCGCGCGCTCCCGCGCGCGCGCACACACACACACACACACACACACCCCTCTCTTCCAAAGTAGCATTTAACTTCAGAGTTAATACTGACAGTCTTTAGTCCTATCCAGCACAAATACACTGTAAGCCAATGGGTAATTTGAAATCTAGCAACCACATTTTTGAACAGTTAAAACAAGTGAAATTAATTTTAATATGTTTATAAATTTAATCCAGGGGTTGGCAAACTATAGCCTGAGGATGACATTTATCCCATCTGCTTTTTTT